CGAGGAAGAGAAGATGGCGCTCATCAAGGTCAATCTGGCGGAAGTCTTGAACCCAGAAATCATGGACGAGGCGTTGAAGAAGCAAGGACACTTGAAGGTTTACTGGGGTACTGCGACAACAGGACGGCCACATTGCGGTTACGTATGTTGACATCGCGAGATACGGTCGCGTGCACTGCTAAAGATGTATACTGTAGTTCGTACCTATCCTCAAGCTCGCACAATTCCTCGCTGCAGGCTGCCACGTCAAGATCCTGCTCGCAGACATCCACGGCTTCCTCGACAACCTGAAAGCGCCCATCGAGCTCGTCAAGTTCCGCGCAGAATACTACCGCTACACCATCACCGCGCTGCTCAAGGCCGTCAAGGTGCCAATCGACAAGCTAGAATTCGTATTGGGATCAAGCTATGAGTTGAACTCGGACTACACCATGGACCTGCTGAGACTAGCGAGTATAACAAGCGAGGCAGCAGCGAAGAAGGCCGGCGCAGAAGTCGTCAAGCAAACCGAGAACGCGCCTTTGAGCGGCCTCATCTACCCACTGATGCAAGCCCTCGATGAGCAGTACCTCGACGTAGACGTCCAATTCGGAGGCGTAGACCAACGCAAGATCTTCGCCCTCGCAAAAGACGTACTCCCCAAGATCGGCTACAAAGAGCGCGCCCACTTGATGAACCCCATGGTTCCCGGTCTGCAAGGAGGAAAGATGAGCTCATCCGACCCCGACTCCAAAATCGACGTACTAGACGACGCAGACGTAGTAAAGCGCAAGCTCAAAAAGGCGCACGCGGCGCCCAAGATCGTCGAAGAGAACGGCGTCCTCAGCTTCGTCGAATACGTGCTCCTGCCCGCCAGCCACCTCAACTACGGCGAGCCCAAATTCGTCGTAAAGCGGCGCGACGCCGAGCCCCTTACCTACACCGATATCAAGAAGATGCAAGAAGACTACGCAGCCGACATTCTCACACCCCAGGATCTTAAGCCCGCGGTTACGGAAGCGCTCAACGCGCTTCTTGAGCCCGTGCAGAAGGAGTTCCAGGGCAACCAGGAGTGGAAGGATATCGAGCAGAAGGCTTACCCGCCGCCGCCGGTGGTCAAGAAGGAGAAGAAGGTTAAGAATAAGGGTACTTTCCATCCGAAGCAGCGGAATGTGGAGGCTAAGCCTGATGGGCATGTTGAGGGTGAGGATAAGGACAAGGTTGATGTTGGGACTGAGGGTGGGGAGAAGGCTATTGAGGGGCTGAGTTTGGAGGAGAAGAAGTAGATGCAGCAGGTAGAAGTTTAGTGATACCGTGTAGATGAGCATACTAGTTGCATCCGTCGTTGCATATGTCTGCAACATACTGTTTAATAGTGTCTGTGAGGATTACATACTCTGGTTGGTACAGATATCTCGTCCTCCATGGAGCTAAGAGAGGGCTACGCAGTGTTCCACATCCAGCAACCGTGAGTCTTCCTGTTCCTCCAAAGCCGCCAGTGCAGCTAAAGGCTGCCGACTTCGCACCTGGTCCCCTCTAGAAGAATATTTGTTGAAGCACCTCCATCCCTCTTTCAAGAGTACAACTCCGCCTCGTCCCTCCTCATTTCCATCCCCCCACCCGCCTCCCCATGCATCCCATGCTCAGGTCTCTTCAACGCCGTCCCCTCCTTCAAATACAATATCAACCTAAACGCCGCATTCCCATTCAAGTAATACCGATGCAGCCTCTTACTCCGTATAAACCCCAGCCGCTCATACAGTTTCAAACTCGCGGTGTTCGACACCTCGGTCTCGAGGACGATCTCGTCGGCGTCGCGGGCGGTCATGGCGTCGATGGCGAGGCGAACGAGTTGCGTGGCTATGCCGCGGCCGCGGTATTCTTCTTGCGTGGCGAGCATGGCGATGTAGCCGCGGTAGGTGCCGCTGCGGTGGGGTTCGAGTTTGCAGGTTATTACGCCGATGAGGGTGTTTGTGGGGGAGAGGGCCTGTGGGGGGAGGGGGGGTTAGATACTGTAAGGTGGTTTGGGGGAGGAGGGGAGAGAGAAGTACCATGTAGCATAAATCACCCCATTGGTATAAGAAGTACCGGTATACATAGATACTGTATGGCTCGGACAGGTCCTTGGAGATTAATTGACGGATGGCGGGGAGGTATTGCTCTTCTTTCGAGGGTTCGTATTGGACATATTGGAGGTCGTCGGGCTCTTTCAGCTGTTTGGTCGAGGGCGCCGCCGTCGCCGTCGCATCAACTGTGACGTCGCCATCTTCATTGCCGGCCATGGCGCGTAGGAAGGAGAGCAATGCGCGTATGCTCAGCCCCTCATAGCGGCCGGCTTGGCCCGCCGTGTCAGGAACGTGCTTTCTCGTGCATCCTTGTGCCGATCATTCCGTCACATGCCGAGGTGACGATAACCAAAAACAATCTCGTGGCAGTCGCCCACGCGTTCCCATACAACCCCGCGTACAACTTCCAACGCTTCGTTCATGTCTTTCTTGAGACGCCGCTTCGGCGGCGGCGGCGGCGGCGACGACAGCGAGATCTCGACGCCCGAACTGTCCCGCGAACCTTCGCCCGGACCAGATGGGAAGTTCAAACGGCCTGCGAACTTGCGCCTGATTACCGCGGAGCAGCTGCAGACGCTCAAGAAGAGGGGGCAGCATAAGAAACGGAGGAATTTCTGGGTGTTTGGTCTGGGAGGCATATTTGGGTTGTTGCTGGCGGGCTTCTTTGCGAGCAGTAATGACATGATTGATCTGAGTAGTCTGGAGGGCGTCAACTTGGAGAGCATCATGGAGGCGCTGCCAGACAACTTTGTGAAGAGCGCGCAGCAGATGCAGGTACGCGCGACTCTCGCTTCCTACAGAGGACGACTGAATGGGAGACCCTGCGCATGGAGAGGAATCGAGGCTGACTGCCCCAACTCAGTAGAAATCAGAAAAAGACGCCGTAAACTACGATTCCTTCGCCGTCGGTCTCCACGCGCAGAAACAAGGCATCAAAGCCAAGCACCCCGTTATCATGATCCCCGGTGTCATCTCCACGGGTCTTGAATCCTGGGGCACGGAAGAAGGGTCGAGACAATACTTTCGCAAGAGATTGTGGGGGTCATGGACGATGATGCGCGCGCTCGTGCTGGACAAGGCACAATGGAAACGACACATCATGCTCGACAAAGACAGTGGTCTCGATCCACCCGGCGTGAAGCTACGAGCAGCGCAAGGTTTCGACGCAGCCGACTTCTTCATAACGGGATACTGGATATGGAATAAGATTCTGGAGAACCTCGCTACCATCGGGTATGATCCAGGCAATGCCTTCACTGCAGCCTACGACTGGCGCATGTCGTACATGAACTACGAGATACGGGACCAGTATTTCACCCGTCTAAAGTCGCACATCGAAGTTGCCGTGCGCGTGTCGGACAGGAAAGTCGTTCTTCTCTCGCATTCCATGGGTTCACAGGTCCTCTACTACTTCCTGCATTGGGTCGAAGCAGAAGGTTACGGCAACGGCGGACCAAACTGGGTCGACGAATACATCGACAGCTGGATCAACATCTCCGGCTGCATGCTCGGTGCCCTAAAAGACATGCCCGCCGTCCTCTCCGGCGAAATGAAAGATACAGCCCAACTCAACGCCTTCGCCGTCTACGGCCTCGAGCGCTTCCTCTCGCGCTACGAACGCGCAGAAATCTTCCGCGCAATGCCCGGTCTCTCCTCCATGCTCCCCCTCGGCGGCAACGCCGTCTGGGGCGACGAAACCGGCGCCCCCGACGACCTACCCGGCCAAAACGTAACCTTTGGCCCCTTCATCCGTTTCCGAAACGCAAACAGCACGATGACGCAGAAGAACATCACTGTGGATGATAGTCTGCCCTTCTTGTTCCGCAACACAGAGCCCTGGTTCAAGAAAATGATTCAAACCTCCTACTCCCACGGCGTAGCCCACACGACCAAACACGTCGAAGACAACCAGTTCCTGCCCGCTAAATGGGTTAACCCGCTAGAAACCCGGTTGCCGCTCGCTCCCAGCCTGAAGATCTACTGTTTCTACGGTGTAGGCAAGGATACGGAACGTGCGTATTATTACCGCAGCGACGATGATCCGTTGAGCGGGTTGAATGTTACACTCGATACGATGTTCACCCAACAGGAGGGCAATGTGGACCATGGGGTTGTTATGGGTGAGGGGGATGGGACGGTTAATCTTTTGAGTAGTGGGTATATGTGTACGAAAGGATGGAAGATGAAGAGGTATAACCCCGCTGGTGCGAAAGTGACGACGTTTGAGATGAAACATGAACCTGATCGGTTTAGTCCGAGGGGTGGTCCTAATACTGGTATGTCTCTTCTTCTATATCCCCTCTCTCTCTTTTGTTCGTCTGCGCGAACGACGGGTTTGGAGCATGTGCTGACGGTTATCGTGAAATAGCGGATCACGTGGACATCCTCGGGCGAATGTCCCTCAATGATCTGATACTGCAGGTGGCGGGTGGACGGGGCGAGTTGATCAACGATACCATTCATTCCAATATCAGGGAGTATGCGGAGAAGGTCAAGATTTACGAGGAGGAAGACTGAGGCGGTTGAATTTGGTCCGGGATCATGTATATGAATAATGATGCCAGCGATGGATAATTACGTTGCAAGGAGATGGTGAGGGATGGATGGGTAGGGGGGCTCCGGCTCAGATCATTTGATGAACTGATCGATCGCTGGAGATGGAGGGAATGATACCATAGACTACTGTTTATTCACTCGCTACACTCTTCACTTTTTGTCGATGCCTTTTCATCCAGGAGACTAGATTGGACAGGTGGTTTTTTCCATCATGTCAAGGTGAGAGACGGCGGTGTGCTTCAAGCTAATGTAATTGTTGTGAGGATACTTGGCCTGGTGAATCTGTGTTGGAAGCTTGTTCTCCTTCTCCTTCTCCTTCGTCCTTCACGTCTGCAGTAATGAAATGATAATGCTGGTATACCTCCTCCTGCTTCACCACCCCCCCTCCCTCCTCCCCCCCTAAAAGTCCGCCTTCCCACCCATAACCTTCGCCGCATTAACCGCACTCATCTTGTTCGCCCAGCCCTGCGCAGGCACAATCTTCCTCACAGTCCTCACCTCATCAGACGCATAACCCGGAATACGGATATTGTAGTTGCGCTCGAGAATGACTTGGATATCGCGGATGTCGAGTTGGGGCGAGTCGCGCAGCTTGCTAAGCTTGCACGCGTTGCTGATGACGTTGTCGACGAAGTCGTCGGCGAGTTGGAGGACGGCCTGTGGAGTGATTAGACATTGTGTATAAGGGTATAAGAAAGATGGGGCTTACCTCTTCAACTTCTGGTGTTAGGGCTTCTTCTGATCCACCGGTTACCTGCCTCACGAGCTCATCTAGCTTACGCTTGCTGAGCACTCGGTCGCCTTCGCCTTCGAGTTGGAACGGTGGTGGACGTGGAATGACGGGTTGGCCCATGGGTCCTGGCGCGCCGTTGGTTGGCCCACTCATAGTAGGCCGGGATTGGCCCATGTGGACGGCTTGTGGTGAGGTGACATTCAGATGGCGTGGAATGGGCATCTTCGGGTTATTAAGCTGCTCGCGCTCGCGACTGCCAAAGTTGCCGCCTTGTCCGCCTTGCTGCATAGGTGTGTTTGTGCGTTGCGGGTCGGTGTAGGAGCGGTTCGCGGCGCTGACGGCGGCGCTGTGGGAGAGAGGGATTGGTGGGCCGGGCGCGTTCGAGGCGGCGGATTGAGGGTGTGGTGAGTTGCTCTGCTGGTGCGCGTTCGCTTGCATGGGGTTGATCTGAGGTCGCTGCTGTTGTTGCTGGTGGAAGTTCTGTTGCTGCTGTCCTTGCGCAAATTGCGGCATCTGACCTGGAGGCATCGTCTGCGAGTGAGGCCCTGGTGGAGGTCGAGCTTGCTGCTGTCCTTGCTGCATTTGTTGCTGCTGCTGCGGAAGTGAAGGCGGCATCTGCTGGTTGTGTTGTTGATTATGCTGCTGTTGCGGCGGGCCCTGCTGGTGGTTTCCCTGGTTTTGTTGCATGTTGAACTGGGGTTGTGGTTGGGGTTGAGTTTGCGATTGTTGTTGGGGTTGTGGTTGTGGTTGTAGTGTCTGTCCGCCCTCAATCTTGATTTGCGGCTCCTCTTTCACTTGGGGCTGCGCGGGCATGTTAGGTTGTGAAGGCTGGCGCTGAGGCGCTTGGGGCTGTTGTTGCGGCGGTTGCTGCTGCTGTTGCTGCTGTGGGGGCGATTGCGCTGTGTTCTGGCTCTGAGGTTGCGCCTGAGCCTGGCCCTGCGCATTTCCCTCGCGTTCATCCTTCCATTGCTTCTGCATGGCACGGAACTTGTCAATCTGGGCCTTGATCTTAGCAGACTCCTTCTCGATGTTGGCCTTCATCATGAGCTGTTCCTGGGGTAGTTCCTGCCCGTTGTTCTGCCTTTCGGTAAGCTGATGAACAAGCCGCCGTCTCTGCTCGTTAAAGGAAGCTTGCTTGGCAAGCATGTTAAGATAACCAGATCGGTACTCCTTGATTTTGGTCTCGTACTCGGGTGTGCCTGGCGCCGGTCCATTCGTGGGTCCCTGCATGGGGAACTCGTGGACATGCTTGACGATAGCAGGATCGACCTGGCCGCGTCCTGGGTTCTGGCCTTGGTTGGGCTGTTGTCCTTGGTTCTGCTGGTTGGGTTGCGCGCCGGTACCACCAGCTCCTCCATTGGAACCCTGGCCTCCTTCCTGCTTGACCGCATTGGGGTTCTGCTGGCCGGCTGCACTCGACTGTCCAGCTTGCGCTTGGTTCTGATTTCCCTGTTGCTGCTGTGCCTTCATCTTTGCGCGATACTGGCGTTCGCGCGCGATGAACTTTTGCGACCAGTCCGTCAGCTTCTGACGCGCCGTGGTGTTCTCCTGGCTGCCCGGCGGGTTGTTGTTGAAGATGTTCCAAGAGCTCTGCATGATCAAGCGGTACTTCTGCTTCTCGTCTTCGGGAAGACATTGTAGCTTGAGGATGTCATCGGGGCGTAGCAGCTGCTGGCCTTGCTGCTGGCCGCCGCTGGCCTGCTGTGGCTGGGATTCGCTCATCGCGAGGGCTGCGGACTTCGGAGCCGCGCGTTGGGGGGTCGAGTCGTATGCGAGGTTTGATGCGGGAAGAGGTCTTGGTGTTGTCGCGTAGTTACTGTGATTAGAAAATGAGTCGCAGAGATGGATTCTTGGTGTGTGAAGTTTGATAGTGGGAGTGGTGAGGTTTGGAGTGATGGTCCACGGATGGTGCTAAGCACCCGACAGCGACCATGTCGCGCGTTTGTACGACCGCACGTGCACGCGTCGGTCCTCACTAACACATGCGTGGATCAGCCAAGCAACTTCTCTATTATCTTGCATCTAACTAATGCTACCGCTCCGATGCAAACGGTATCTCACTGCTCTGAGAATCAACCTTTGAAATTTGCCCCTTTGCGAGCGCCCGCTCTCTGGTATTCCGGACTTCCCACTCGAATTCCTTGAGTGCCCTGATCTCGCTACCAACAAACAACAACCCCATCAATCCATCGATGACACCAACACTAAATCCCAATGTACTCAACAACATCAGTATAAAGGCAACGTAGTTCTTGGGTGACCACCAGACACCTATTAGGCAGCCAACGGAGAATGAGAGCTGGTAGAAGAAGTGACCTATGCGCAGCTTGCGCTGTATCCTTTCTCGGACCTGGTACTTGAGTATGGTTGCCATGATCTCGTCATAGACCTCGATGGGCAAATATTTCTCAGGCAGTGCCCACGGGGATAGCCGTATGGCTGACGGATCAGTAGAAGTCCTCGTCAGTGTCGCTTCGACGGAGAAATGATCGCTCAAGGAACAGTGTAGCGTAGGATGACGCATCGCCATGCCTACGTTAGCTTCCTTGAGCTCCCACTCAGCTGTCTCCTCCTTGGTCTCTGGGTGGTGGTATCGCCCGCTGCTGAAGAAGACGTAGTCAAGTCGCTTCGCATTGGGGTCTGGAACGGCAGGATCTATTTGCACGTTCTCACCCTTATTGAGACGTCTCTGTTGTCCTTTGTTCCACCGCCAGGAGTTCAGCTCACTGTCGCACGTTGCTCCATTGACAGTCATGTTGAACTGCGCAGATGGCATTGGTACGCCGCGAACCTGCTCGACCTTGTCTTTTGCCGCGCCGATGGAGGATTCGGGGTGGAGAATGCGCCATACGTCTCGGACAGGTGAATGCGTCTCTATGATACGGTGCGCGAGGGATAAGGGGATCATGTTGAAGTCGCCCATGCCAATGACGAGATGTCCGCGTTCAGCCGCGGCGCGCATGAGTTTTGTGATCTCCCACGCTTGGGCTGTTCGATGGCAAATGTAGGAGTCGTGTGGTTCGCGTTCATATGGGGCGTGGAGCTATTCCAGTCAGTGTGTATACTTTACAGTTGACAAGCCGACTTACATGCGTGCAAAACACCTCTGCGATATCTCTCTTTGACGGCCCCATCTGGATCCTCGCACATGCGACCCCCTTTCCCACGAACCAATCGCCGCGATAGAAAGCAGCAGGCCGTCCGTTCAAAGGATACCGCACCATGTTGCTCTCGAGAATAGGCCATCGTGACAGAATGACTAAACCACCACCGAAGATTCCGCTGTGGTAGAACTTGCCATAAGGCAATATGTGTTGTGTCTTCTCCCTTATGGCATTGTAATCTTGCTGGGTCCAGCACTCCTGGAGTCCGACAATGTCTGGCTGTGGACTGGCGGCGGCGATCTGGTTTCCGATTTCAGTAAGGCGCTCGTTGCGCAGCTTGGAGATGAACTTGAGACCCCAGCAATTGAGCGACAGGATGCGTATGCTCGAGGGTGGCGGGCCGAGTTGTGAATCCATTGTGTAGGTGGACGCGAGTTGAACGGACGGGTATGATGCAACCCAGGAAATGTACCTGAGATGCTGCAGGGATGCTGGGGACCGCCTGCACGCTAACTTTCCATTGCCGATCAGTCGCGTTCCGCAATTCACAGCGCAACATCAAGCCAACTACCACATTGAACATGGACAACACACGGTCAACCTCACCCAAAAGACGGCGCGAAGACGAAGACGGCTACGATGACGAACGACCACGCAAACGCTCTGCCTCGCACGAACCGCCCAATGCCTCCCCCAGCTACAGGATAGCGGAAAGACCCGCGCGCCGATACAGCAGGGGCGACAGCGACGACGAGCAACGCGAATACCGAGACCGACGCCCCTCCTACTCGCGCTCGCAATCACGGTCACGCCGCTCCAGCACCTCCTCATCCTCGCACCAGCGCCGCACATCACCCTCAAAGCCCACCACTCTAAACTATGCGCCCACGCTCATCCTACGCGGCCACAAGAAAGCCATATCCTGCGTCAAATTCTCGCCCGACGGCCGCTACATCGCCTCTGCCTCAGCCGACTGCACAATCAAGATCTGGGACGCCCACACCGGCGCCCTCGAACACACGCTCGAAGGCCACCTTGCAGGTATAAGCACGATATGCTGGTCCCTCGACTCCAAGATCCTCGCCTCGGGATCCGACGACAAAAGTATAAGGCTGTGGGACACAACCACTGGGCTCGCCCACCCCACGCCTTTCATCGGCCACCACAACTACGTCTACAGCATAGCCTTCAGCCCCAAAGGCAACATGCTCGTCTCAGGCTCCTACGACGAAGCAGTCTACCTCTGGGACGTCCGCGCCGCCCGCGTCATGCGCTCTCTCCCCGCACACTCTGACCCCGTTGGCGGCGTAGACTTTGTCCGCGACGGTACGCTCATCGTCTCGTGTTCTCACGACGGCCTGATTCGTGTCTGGGACACGGCAACAGGCCAGTGCCTCCGCACCCTCGTCCACGAAGACAACGCCCCCGTTTCGTCTGTCATCTTCTCGCCAAACGGCAAATACATCCTCGCGTGGACCCTGGATTCCTGCATCCGCCTGTGGAACTACATTGAAGGGAAAGGGAAATGCGTGAAAACGTACCAAGGGCATGTGAATAAGCAGTACTCGCTTTCCGGTGCGTTTGGCACGTACACAGGGAATGAAGAGGGTGCTGAATACGCATTCGTTGCGTCTGGTGATGAAGAGGGGCAGGTGGTGTTGTGGGATGTTAGTAGTAAGAATGTGTTGCAGAGATTGGAGGGACATGGCGATGCAGTGTTGAGTGTGCACACGCATCCGACTGAGAAGATGATTGTGAGTGCGGGGTTGGATCGCACGATTAGGCTTTGGAGACCGAAGGAGGGAGTTGTGGGGAATGTAAATGGGAAGATGGCAGATGAGGAAAAGGTGAATGGGGCTGGGCATGCCGACGGTGTCAATGGTGTAGATGAGATTACGCAGGAGGCGAATGGGTTTGACCCTGATGTCCTGCCGCCGAACCCTTTTGCTGAGGGCTGAGAGGGCAGGGTTTGGTGAGATATGGTAACAGACAAGAAGGTCAACGTTGAATAGGACGTGGCGTAATTCAGATACCCCAAGTAACTAGCAAGTGAAAGCTAGCACGTATCTTTCCCCGTCTTATACTGCGCAAATCGTCATACATCAAAACGCCCGTATAGCCACGCTTTTTGGTATACCCCAAACGCCTCCCATGCAGCAAAGTCTCGAAACGCCAGGAAATGCACACCTCTCTCCTTTCTTCAGTTTCTCCAGATCAACTGAAATGGATACCTTCTTGGTTGAAGGCGTACAATAGCTTCAAGAAATCTCCCTCATCACACAACCGCGCCCGCTTGTCCGCCAGCTGCGTCTCATCTTCAAGCACCTTCCTCACTTTCTCCCTGACCAGCTCGCTCAACCTGCCCTTCCTCTTCCTATTCACGCCATTGACCCTCTTCTTACTCTCCGCCTGAAGTTGTTTGAAGAAATCGGGGAGTTCATCGTCCGGGTCGTCCGGGTCAGAGAAGCCTTTGAATTCGTCGTCGAGGTCCATGTCCGCGTCCGCTTCTGCATCTTCAGTAACTTCTGAGGGGTCCACGGGTGAGTCGTCGACGGGGATATCATTCTGCGCACACCACAACCGGTAATTGCCCCCTAGCAACTCCAACACCGCTGCCGTACCCAGGAAACTAGCTCGTAACGTCCTGTTCTTCCTCACGAAGCAGATACGTAACAGGCCATCCCACTCCTCATACGCAATCTGCGGCCGCGGATTCTTCGGCTCGATACGCACGACGTTGCTCTCGACCTGCGGCGGGGGGTTGAAGTTGTTGCGGCCTACTTTCATTACGTGGCTGACTTTACTCCACATTTGTACGTTGACGGAGAGGCGGGAGTAGAGTTTTTCGCCGGGGCGCGCGAACAGACGCATGGCGAATTCGCGCTGGAACATGAGGATGCAGCAGCGGGGTGGGTGTGCAAGGGCGAGCAGTTTGAAAACCAGTGGTGAGGAAATTTGGTAGGGAGTATTGCTTATGCAGACGTCGAAGCGGGGGAGTTCGGCCTTTATCACGTCGCCCAACCGGATCGTTAATCGCTTTTCCTCAGGGCTGCCTTGGACTCGTTTTGTCAATTCAGCGGCCATTCGGGGGTCCATTTCTACGGCTGTTACTTGTTTGGCGGCTTTCAGTATCAGGACTGTCAAGTTTCCCGTTCCCGGACCCACTTCGAGAACGTGGTCGGATTGCTTCAAATGCGCTTTTTGGACGATGGCCGTTGCGACACCGGGGTTCTTGAGGATATGTTGGCCGAGGTCTTTGTCCATCTTGAAGATTGAGTGTGCGGCCGAGGCTTTCGCAGAGGTGGCGGCGGGGCGGGCGTAGGGGGAGGCATCTTTGTCGCCGCCTTTGCTGCGCTTTTGCTTTGCTTTCGGCATGGTGGGTGGTTGTGAGGTGGTTTGATGCGGTTGAGTAGGTTTTTCGTCGACGGAGAGAGATCGCGCGAGATCTGAGTAGTGCTGCGACGAGCTTGAGCGGGTAAGCTTGGCGGTTGTGGGTACTGGCCGAACTTGCGATCGGTTGGCGTGGGCTGTTGGATCTGGCGACGATAATTTTTGGTGTTGCAGATCGGATTTACCGCGGGGTTAAGACATGTGAGCGCGCGACTAGCGCAGTCGCGAGTTTGCCCTGATCCATGACGTTGATGCGACTTTCATCGCATTCTCGTAGTCCTTGAGCAAACCCTACCATTCTCGTATGCGAAATAGTATCGCGAACCTAGCCTCAAGCCTTCTGTTCTCAGCGCGTTGTCACTCTTTCAAAGTCGCCACACACAGTCGTTCCCTCCTGAAATACTCAGCCTTGCCGACGCGCTCCTTCCTCAGCAACCCCAGCAATTGCAATCACTATCAGCATCGCAATTACACTCACTTCATACCACGTGCCGCTAATTGCCCCGCTGTACACTTGCAAACGCGCTCCCTATCGCGGCCTTTATCGAATCTCCAGTCACCTCGACATGCTATCAGGAGTAGCACCCTAATCGCGCTCTCTCACCTTTACCTCGATCGCTCCCACCCGTTTGCCGTCTACAAAAGTACCTTTTCAGCCTTCGACCTCCGTCGCTCCTACACCTCACTCCTTAATACCCCAGGAGCGTCAGAAGACATAGGAACCTCTTTGATAGACACTCCCAGGCCTTTGGCTACAGAAATCATGGCCAGGAAAATCTCTAACGCGCTCTCAGACTCGTCCCTTTCACCTCCTCCTGACAATCTCATGTCAGCCACCGAAACGACTACCGTCACTCAGCCAGTAGCGAACGGCAAGAAGCGAAAGGCCGAGACAACACCCCGTACAAGGAGGACCAGAGCACAACAAGTCGACGTCGAAGATGTTGTTGATGCCGTCGATGAGTCGCCTCGACCCAAGCGTCGCGCTGCCAAGAAGATAAAGGTCACAGAAGAGGTGGAAGATGAAGTCATGGCCCAAGAGAGCGGTGATGGCGAGGGCAAGTCTAAGAAAGCCGTTTCAAGACGTAACAAGAAGACCGCTACTACGAAGAAGGCCGTGGCGGAGGACAGTTCGGTTGAAGCCGAAGTCGATGCAGAGATAGAGGTTGACGCAGATGGAGATGACAAGATCGCGACCAAGACCTCTGTCAAGAAGACCACACGAGGCAAGAAGAGCAAGGCCAAGATCGAAGACAGCGACCATGAAGACAAGCCCAAGCCTAAGCCTAAGCCTAAGGCAAAGGGCAAGGGCAGTACTGCAAAGATCCTACCACCACTTGCAGATCGCACCAAAGACTCAAAGCATCTGATTGGCGCCCATGTCAGCTCCGCCGGAGGTTAGTTCATATCACACTCCCATCTGCTATTTGTGAAGACCACTGGCTAACATGGACTCGAAAACAATCGTTTAGGCGTACACAACTCCATCATCAACCTTGTATATATCGGGTATGTTTTTGATCTTCTACATTCACCATTTTGAGCCATCGCTAACATCCACAGCGCCAATGCTTTCGCTCTGTTCTTGAAGAACCAGCGTAAATGGGAGACCATTGAGATGGATCCAGAACATGCTGCACTCTTCATCCAGGGCTGCAAGGATCACGGTATCAACGCTGCGGAGTGCTGTCTGCCGCACGGTTCCTACCTGGTCAACTTGGCTCATCCTGATCCCGCTCGCAAGAAGCAGGCCTACGACTCCTTCTTCAACGACTTGACACGCTGCCACGCGCTTGGCATCCGGTACTACAACTTCCATCCTGGAAATGCCAATGCCACCACTCGCGAGGAAGGCATTCGCATCATTGCCGAGAACCTCAACCGGGCACACGCGGATCCAGCGACTGGCAGTGTTGTCACCGTGCTTGAGACAATGGCAACTCTCGGCAACACAATCGGAGGAACATTCGCTGACATTGCCGCCATCATCAACCTCATCAAGGACAAGAGCCGTGTCGGTGTTTGTCTAGACACCTGCCACGTCTTCGCCGCCGGCTACGACCTCCGTTCCCCAGAAGCCTACGCCGCAACCATGGACAAGTTCGACCAGGAGATCGGGCTAGAATACCTCAAAGCCTTCCATGTCAACGACAGCAAGGCCCCACTATCCAGCTTCCGCGACCTCCACGCCCGTATCGGCACCGGATACCTCGGCCTACAAGCCTTCCACAACCTCATGAACGACGAGCGCTTCCACGGTCTTCCCATGGTCCTCGAAACTCCCGTTGACAGCGTTGACGCCAACGGCAAGAAGGTCGAAGACAAGGGTATCTGGGCGCGCGAGATCAAGTTGCTCGAGAGCCTGGTCGGCATGGACAACACCTCTGATGAGTTCAAGCAGTTGGAAGCAAAGCTTCTAGCCGAAGGCACCGCTGAACGCGAACGCGTCGGCGATCAAGTTCAGCGCAAGGCCATCAAGGACGCGAAGCCTAAGAAGAAGCGCGCTACCAAGAAGAAGCTAGAGAGTGAGGATGAGGACGAGGAGGACATGGAGGGATGAGATACAACCACTTGAGTACGTCGATTAGTGCCATCAGAAGGGATGGGTGGTGCATGAACTGTTTTACCCCCGGGGTAACTGTTCCGGCTCAGGTGTTATCCCTTTGATCGTCTGGAGGAAGATGGAAGATGGGTACGCGTTGATGAGAGCGGGAGAAAAGTGGGCTGGAAATGCGTTGATTTGACTGGATTTTGGCTTCGGCCTTTTTATCTCCTATGCGATACCCCATTCCATTGCATGGAAGGCATTTTCATCAGGGGGCATGCTGGGTATATACCACACGGAATCACAAGACACATATCATGAACGGTCAATAGTTCTGACAAGACGTACGTAACTGCACTGCAAGTTGCTGAGGCATCACTTGGCTCCGTAGATGCGCATCGGCACGCCTTACGTTGACGGTTACGGTGTACCCTGAGGTCTGACTACCTAGTTGGGTCACCGAGATGCCGAGGGCGGGTGCCGACGGTTTGTGTGTGCCGATTTGTCGCGTAGGGCGCAGTGGATACTAGAGCTTACTTTTCTGGCGTTTCGTATGGCTAGTGAGGTCGATGACTGATAAGGTAAGAGGGATGGCCAAGCTTGCTTGTAGTTGAGTTTCGTGGGGTTTGCGGACTTCGATTTGTTCGGAGGGATCTCGGGAAATTGTGGGGTTGTGGTCAGTGTATGGGAGTGAGGCTTCACATCTTTCAAGTCAAGGCAAGACGCGCGGATGGTTGAGTAGTAATCGCTTAGAGGACCACCTCCGGTGAAACATTCGCTAATTCGGATAGTCTCCGAACGACTGCCCTATGTCGTCGAGATGCTACTACTGCACACTGATGAAAGAAAGGATGCTTGGATGGACGGTGAAGCAGCCACACCAGCATCACTTGCAGTCCACACTGCATGTAGTGAAGTAACATAGAGTAGGAACGGTAAGCATACCGAAAGCCACAGTCTCAGTTCACTGGCCAGATAGGAGAAACTCTGATGCTTCTTGGAGTGTTCGAGGCTTCTGGCGTGGGAGGAGTCTATTTCGGTTCTAGCGGCTTGGCATTCCCCGTCGCTCTTGCAGTCCAGTCTGCCTTTCCGTCCTACTCTACACACGACGCATACGCGGTCTGACGACATGTGTAACACACTCGGCGGGCACGATTGAGACCACTCAGAGCAGACTCACAATACAACTGTCTGCGGCGCGTCCCGAATTCATATAAAGTCTGACCAATCATCTCCACCTTCCATCCCATCTAGCCTGATCAGGTTCCATGTCGCGAACACGTGGGGTGACGAGCGTCTTCTTCAGCCATCAGTCCACCGCCAGATCAGGGTGCCGAACAATAACCCCTGTGGACCTAAGCCTCGCCTGCAGCCACGGTATGGAACTCCCCCGAGACGCCTAACGGAGGCAGGCAGTTTGCATACATCATACACAGCATCGTTCGGCAACCATATGGCCACCGACGTGCGTTGATAGCAAAAGTCTCAGCTCAAGCTTCTCAAAATCCTGCTGTTTTTCACGTCTCATCTTTGCGTCATTCATTTCGCTTGTTGTTCATCCTTGGAAGGTGCATTATTGTGGAAGTATGGTTGGTGTTCCGAAAAGCACTGGGTGCCTCATCTGCCGCAAGAGGAAGATTAGTAAGTCGTCTGTGGCCCTCTTCCTTGCGGATAACGCCTGACTAAGGACAGAGTGCGGTAAGGCTAGCTCCACCAGAACGCCCCGACTCAACCATTCTGACTAGTGACGATCAAGACGAAAGCTGGCCGACCTGTTTAAACTGCCAGAAGAATGGCAAGCAATGTCCAGGAGCTCCCGCGCGACACACGTTCAGAGATCTCGGGCATAGGCTGAGTGGAGGCGCCACACACTCGTCCGTCGAAGAAACTGCATCACCAGGTAAGCCGGTGTTCAGTGCACACGACTATGATACTGATTTGTTTACAGACCCGGACAGACAACTAACGCAATTGAATGAGAAGTTTGCCGACAATGGGTCCGTCACCCACAAATTCAGGATATCGAACAAGAATTCAACGCCGCGGAAGCGGTCTCCACGATCAAGTTCGATCAGCTTATCTCCACCTAAATCGCCCTTTCTGAGACAACCGTCGCCGTCACAGCATCAACAACTCGCACGCTCCTTAATCGCAGCCACCACAACAGGCAGTACCGGGCATCGCATGTCGGTGTTTGGTCGGTTTATCCAAGAAGTACCAGCTAGGATCGGACACAATGCTGCCCTTGATGCGGCAGTGACAGTACTGGTGAATGTCCATACCTCGCTGGTATACAAGAAGACTGCAGACGAGATCGTTTCGCCAGAGCTTTATATCCGAGCTATCAAAACGCTCCAGGGATGCCTCGAAAGCCAGCAATTGGGCATGTCGCCCAATACTCTCTGCGCATCAATACTTCTTGGTCTTGTAGAAGTAAGTCTTGCCTGGCTGAGCTTGCACCAGTACTTACTTGCCCAGGCTTTTGCAGGTCCAAGAACAGGCAACCGGTACTTGACCCATGTAGGCGGCGCCGGACGATTAATGGAATTACAAGGGCCTTCTAGATACACGGACAGTTTTACGAAAGAGATGCTGCGCTTCAATAGAGGCGGGATAGTAAGTCGACCAAGATCACGATGATGCGGTCGAGTCTATCAACTCAGACATACACGAGAAAGCCAACTCAAGACTAATATGTCGACAGATTATTACATGCATATACGAACGAAAGCCATGCTTTCTCGCATCGCCTGAATGGCGAGACATCGCTTTCGACAAGACTGGGCTCAGTTTCGACGACTGCCTGAATACTGACCTGATGCAATACATGGCCGAGTTGCCTGGTATCTTCAACACGTTGAAAGAGTTGGACGAAACTTACACCCTACAACCGCTCCACACTACGAGCTTTGATTTCAGCTCCAACGGCGAACTACATAAACCGTTGATCGACACGCCCCCATCACTCGACTTCTCTACCGACTCTTTCGACGATATTGACTTTCTAGAAGACACACGGCCGGTCAAAACATCATATCCAATCAGCTCAAATCCATACACATCTCAATATGAATCTGTACGGACAGCACTTCTGTACAAGGTATATGAGCTCAAAGACGCACTCCGCAGTCTAGGCGAGCACATGAACACGAAGCTCACAAACGGCATCGCCGTCTCCGAGACGCCGTCAAGAGAAAAGAACAGTCCAATACAAACAACCTATCACTTCAACAACTGGCGCGACATGACCGCCTACAACTGCTTCTGGTCCGTCATAATCTTAACGAACAAAGTCCTAATGCGCCTCCTCCCACCCTTCGACCAAGCGCGCTATCAACTCCAATCCGAATGCCGCTGCGCCGCCATTGAGATCTGCAAAACATGGGAGGACGCATGGGCCAGCAGACCGATTGGCGCATTTCACACTGGCTTGAGCTTTGTTGTGGCATACGAATTCTGCATACCGGAAGTCCAGGCGTGGATAGTGAAGAGTCTGAACTCTCTTCTGGATTACCATCAGGTCGATGCGTTTCGTTGGTCGGACGAGGTCATTGTCAGTATGGCGGAGAAACTTGCTGGCGAGGGGCCGGCGGTTGCGTTTTCGAATGTTAGGGTTGAGGAGGAGGGGCGATGAATGGATGGTATTACGATCAAGTTTGCATGCATTCAGGCGACCAGAAATTTGCAGTTGTACTCCATTACTGATACCCAATAGATAAACGAGCTCGAAAGACACACGAGTGGAGAACTTCAGATGTCGCCTACGCCTCCTCTTTACTCTGTGCCCTTTGTTCGCCACTCAGCTTTGCGTTACCGCAGCACCAGTGCCTTGCGCCACAACCGCCGTCGGGCTCTGTTGGCTGACGAAAACAACCAGTACAGCCGCATATGCCGCCGTTGCTGCGATGACGTCTTTCCTTTGCGCCGTTGTCAGGAAGCCTAGCCATCCTGCGAAAGCCACAACAAAGCCAGTGACCGTCCCCAATTTGGCTACCATGTGGTCATCCAGTCGCCACAGAATCCACATCGCAGATACAAGGAAGCCAATTGAGATGATCGTGCCCACGAAGGTAACGAATTTCTGCATCTTTTGTTCGTTTACGTACTTCGCTTCTTTGCTTGACCCGGGAGTCTGTGAATGTTAGAGACTGTACAAGAGAAGGGAATAACAGGAACGAGAATGATGATGTTGTGCAGGCATACCAAGAAGAGGGGGTATAGGAATTTGTCGACAAATCTTGATAGGTAATCGTTTTCCGCGGGCGTGTACAGACTGACAAGGTCCGTGAACGTCATTTTGTCGCCATCCCTCTTCATTCGGTACTTCAGCGGATGACCGAGCCAGGGCATTTTGTGGTCGTGGAATGAATCGGTGGAGATGAACCGATCAATCGCCTCGACTGTCCGGTCTGCTGGGGGCTCGAGATGCAACACATTACTATAAGCGGCCAAAAGTTTGTCTAAACCCTTCGTTAGCAAATACCTTCTATCGTTCGGATATGAAGCAACCTCGTACAATATTCAAGAACTTTGTCGCCCACCTGGTGGCTAAATACATTTTCTCTTGAGAGGTCTTCTACGTCTACTCCATACTCGAGGTACCGATCATGTTCCTTCTCAAGGCGTCTTAAGTCTTTGCTCAGCGTAATGAGCCGGTGAATGGCGAGCTTGTCATATCTTCGGAACACTGCAGCGGACTTGCTGGAGTTTTGGGCGAGGTAATCGGCAATATGAAATGGACCCTCTCGCAGCAGATGTCTTTGGGATTCGGGACTCCAATCTTCTATGGTCGGAAGACGCGTATTGCGCGTATCGCCATCTTCTACGATCGGAAGACGCGTGTTTCGCGTATCGCTAATGCCATAAGAAGATGCTAACCCTGATGCTACAGTTGATGCTATCTGTATCGGATCCATGGGCTGTCCGGGGGTGTTCTGTTGATCCGGGAGACCCATCAAGAAAGGTGCGAGGACTAAGGTCAGAAGGTTGAAAAGGCTTGTTCGCAACTCTCAGTCAAAGGCGCTTGGTAGTCTTATCACTTCAGCCTCGAAGGTGTCGTCGTCTGTTTTGCCCAGATCCGGTTAACTTTGATTTTCAGCTCTGGAAGCCAGGCCTGGTTTTTGACCATTGAGCGTCCGCGGAGGTCAGCCACATCAGCCTCCGCAAATGATTCAGGTCTAGATTCAGTTGCAAAACAACCTTTTCAATGCATACTATAGGAGCGTGGCGCAATAGTTATCGCAGGCTGAGTGTTCGTCTTCGCTCGGGAAATCCGCCCACTTCGATCTCTTCTCCATTTCCTACAACAACATAAACCACCGCACAATCTACAACAGAAACCGATCATTTGGACAATATCCAAAAGGCTGCATTATTCGGTTCTCAAATCCTATTCCATTGCGCGAATTCACAATCCACACAAGGCTCGAAACCTACTGTTATTACACCTTACGATGGCCACACCACTGGTGGCCCCCTTCAACACACCAGGAAGACAGTCAACATCTGACGCATATGGCAGCGACGATTTTTTCCGTCGATCTCCAGGAGGACGGCATAATGAGAGACCGCACCCAAATCACGCAAAGGAAAAGATGATCAAGTGGCTCAAGTTTTGGGATAGAGATGGTAAAAAGAAGAATGGGGGAGGTTGACGGGCGTGAAATATAAAGCCCACCACACTTGACATAAAAAGGATACTGAACAGGTATACAGACTACGTTAGGAAAGAAATATGCAAAGTGGGTGAACTAACGTTGATATAGGCTCTAGGGTATCTACCTTCTTCCTGGGTTAACGGCACTACTTGTTATGTGCCATGTGCAACTACATGAGACAGATGGTTTTGAGAGCCACAGGGCAATTGGTGGTTGGATGATCGGTCGCTCGCCGGTGCTAGTTACTCGCCCGCAAGGTACGTTGTACCTTATGTATCTAAAGCTACATGTGTTTTCTCTTTTTTATCAACACCTAGCCACAGTAGATCAGGTCGGCTGTAATGGCCACAAACGTCCAAGAAACCTTTTGCCTTCAAGATGTCGTCAAGCTGCAGTTCTGCGTAAACGAAGCCCTCTTCTGTCTCTGGAGGACCGTCAGCCACCAGGCGGCCATCCGGCCCAAAGATGGCTGAGCTACCTCCACCAGGGGTATTCATGGTGACGCCAGAGGCTGTCCGCAGCGTAGCAATGCCTGCATCACTCATTACCGCTGTAGTATGCAGAACAAAGGATTGCGACTCCATGGCGTAGACTTGAGAGAGGCTGCGGCAACCTGTTTACCAAATACGTTAGCTAAGGGTTACTCTGCTCGTATACAATATGGTATCGCACCTTCTTTACTCATGGAGTACAAGCCTGGACCGCCATCGTGATCGTACAGCGGCGGCCACGCAGCAACATGTATGGTTTCTCTCTGATGGTAAGTGTGGTATTTGAGTAGTGGTTGCGTATGCTCCCAGCAAGCCAGGGTACCAACGCGTCCAACGTCCGGCAGCTCCACGACGTTTTGGAGAGTAGAGCCCGATGCATCTCCAAATATCGTCCTCTCCATGTGCGTCGCTTTCAGCTTCCGACGCAGGACTTCGATACTTCCCTCGGCATTGATGATAGCTTGTGAGATGTAAAGCGAGCCTTTGAAGTTCTCGCTGAACCCAAGCACAACGGCGATATGGTGATCTGCAGCACTCTGACAGATGCGACGCATCTCATTTGAGTCTGCATGCAGAGAGTTCTTCATATAAGCTGTCGAGAGCTCGAAGTCTATGGGCCTTGACCTAGCACTGCATATCAGCATGCCTTGGAAATCGACGAAGGACAACTGTATTCGCGAACGTACCATATCCAGGCAGGGTAGCCTGGAATCCAACATTCGGGGAACGACACAAGCTTTGCGCCGTTCTCTGCTGCCTCGCGGATCAAACGGCAGGTCTTCTCGACAGCCTTTGGCAAGTCAAGCCATGCTGGCTCGAATTGAGTGACAGCAACGCGAACAGTGGATGATAGTTGATGTGACATGACGTGGATAGTGTGTTGAGCGTAGGAAAGTGAAGGGTCCACGGGTATCTGATCACGTTGTATTTCAAAGAAGGTGTTTATTGCAGAAACACAAAGGACCGTACATATCACTATGGTATTAGCAACGAAATGACTGCAGCCATCAGATAAGTGGGCACGAGGATACAGAGGTTCACTAATCTTATACAGCAACACGAAAGGCGGGGCTCCTGAATGCCAGCAGCGGAACCTTTCCGAAGGGATCTCGGCAAGCTTCGAAGCCGACGTATCTCTATATCGGCAACCTTATCTCTGATTTCGGCATCTCTCTGGCGATAGACGGTCATCTTAATGCTAACAGATGTATAACGCGACCGAAACAATGCTAAGCCGCGGACACTGCCCCAATTGCTCGGGTGATGAGTATCACATATACCCGGGTAGTTCCCGAATAGACCCGTGGACTGCACTACTCTTCCCGCTCCCCTTCTTATTCATCAACTTCTATCTGAAAGTCACAATGCCATTCTTAAATCATTAATTAGATGCTGGTCCGCAGCAGCGCTTGGGTGATGTTACCCACGCACAGACATGTCAGATTCGCGAAATCCTATGGTGGGCCTTACCACAGCCAAGCTACAAGGCAGTCGGGCTCAGCGAACGGATCTCACCTGGGCAGCCTTCACCTTGCTTCCTTCCACCACGGTGGCTTTCATACACATCTCCAATACAGTCTTTTGCACCCTGAATAAGTCTTTGCGATCGTTATAGGTTTACTATCTGAGTATTGAACGAGCAGCATACTCCACGACGCGTCCACTGTGGGCTATGCGGGCTTGGCGTGCAGGATGAGAAGCGAAGCTGTCTCCGGACAGGAACTGGCAGAAATGAGGTGCGTCTCGCCCAGGTCAGAATCTAGATCTAGGTTGCTCATACTGAAGCTCCAGCCATACAACGGGCTTACTGAAAAGCGGCTATGCAAGTGTCGATTCGCGCGATGACACCTCTGGCGATAACAGTCACAATGCGAATGTAGTCGAATTGGAAGACAACTCCGCCCCATCGCAGGTAAAGCGTCGCCATCTCATGCGACAGTTTCGGTTTCAATCCGCTTCCTCGACGTTCTCTCGATGTATGGGCTCTCGTTGGAACCGGAATACCGAACGTCGCAAAGTAGCCATTCACTACAACAGGGCAGTCGCCGCAGTGCATGCGTTACTGCACGTTGTTCCTCTTTCTGGCGCCATCCTACTGCTGGTATTCCAATGGACGAATTATTGGGTCAATGAACAGAACGATTACTCAACTGAATTGCAATTTGCAGCAAAGCTCCACGAGTTACTTATGCAGGCTTCAATCGTCGAGGTTCTACTTAGCATTATTCGTGCAGGTCTTGTTAACGGCCTTGTTCCATTCGGCACTTTATCAGGCGCTATGCAGCCGACTCAATTGTCTTATCTATGGTCACTGGATTTCTTCTCCCTCTTTCGATCTCGTGCACTCCAAGGATGGCGAAAGACAATCTTCGTGGTCGCCATGCCCCTCTTGTTCGCTTTGACAGCGCTGGTTGGACCTTCAAGCGCTGTTCTCATGATCCCACGTGCGGGCGTTCCACGCACTCCTTCACACAGCCAACTCTGGGGAGTAGCATCTGACGAAGCTTCGTATCCTTCTAAAATTCCCATCTCAAAATTTGACTCGTACGTACCTTGGCCCAAAATAACATCGAGTACTGAACTACAAGCAGTGATATTCAAGGGCTGAATTCAACCCTATGGTACTCCGACAGATACGAACGTGGCAGTTCTTATGGGTCAAATACCATTCTTCATTTTTCCCGGAGATTATCGAACTTAAAACGACTCCTACGGTGGTCCAACGATGTGCGCAATCCCGACAAAACCGGGGGTACAGTGCTTCGAGAGGCAAATGTCACGATCCCGACGGAGGTTATAGCTGATCAATCGGACCTAAAGGGCATAGGAAACACGACGCTAATCGTGGAGGCTGCACACCCAGTTGTAGGGGCGCAGTGCTGGGGATCCTTTTTCGACATCAATAACAGCAGCGATTGGTATTACCCCTGGCCTTGGACATCACTAATGCCGGATCTTCCCACCTTGATCTCCAAAGTATCGGATACTGTCGAACTTTCCGCCTCCACATATGGAGGGGGTGAGAATCACTCCACTGCTGTCTACTTCAGTCCGGTCTGGATCTCATCACCAGAGCCAGCAGATCACCCGTTGCTCGTAGTGTTCTTCCAGGGTAGGACGAGTGAAATGTGGAATCAGTCCACACTGGTCCAGCCTGGTCTGCTGTCGTCAATGGTCGAAAGTAAAGATCCTGCTGTGACCG